AATTTCTCTAAGCACTTTTATCTATCCCTGTGCCTTCAATTACTCTCCGTATGGTAAGAACACACAAATCTGTTTCTCCAGCCTTCACAATCTCTTGTGATGTTCCAGGATCCTATATACAACTGTCTTCTAAACATCTCCCACTTGCCAATGATATTCCCTGCAAGCATGTGAAACACAGGTCCAAAGTTGAACTCATTCTCTTCCCCGTCATGCCTTCTTCCCCTTCTCTTTTCCTACTCCCTACCCAGAAACCTAGGAAGCATTCTAACATCCTCACTCTCCCATACCTTTTACATTCTAACAGTCACAAAGAACAGCAAATTCTCCCTCACCTTATTTTTCCCAAACATTCTCACTTCTCTATTCCCACTACTTCCACCTTTATCTAAGCTTTCAACCTCTTTTAACCATACTAATGAACTGTCCTTAAAGGCCTTCAGTCTTGCCATGTCCCTACATCCAACCCCACTCCACCCTCAAGCTACCCAGCACACTGCTTTCAGTGATCTTCCATGACACTCACAATTCTTCAGTGGCTTACTACTACACATGGTATAGGAAGTATATATACCCTGAACTGGCTATCCAGTTTCATCTCCTTTCACTCCTGACCTTGTCCTTCAGACTCTAATATAACTGACCAACATATAGTTGCCATTATGTTCTCATAATGCCACACAACTACTCATGCTGTTAGCTTTACCCAGATATGTTTTCTACTGCTTGTCAACATGCCCATCACTCCTACTCAGTTTTCAAGTCTCAGCTAAAACCCTTCCCTGGCATTTCAGACAGAGATCAAGAGCGTTTGCTAGATTTCATTTGCACTTACACCTACCTCTGTTACAGTAAATAGCATACTGTACTTGAACTATTGCTCAAGATAGCTGTAGTCCTACTAGACTACAAGATCCTTGGTCAAAGACAACGACTTTTCGTCTTTATATCCTCATCACTAGTTCAATTCACACAGTCACTAGTTCCGTGTACATTACTAGTTCCATGCAGACAGACAGAATAAAAAAGGAGACGAGAGGTTAATGAATGAGGTATGGGCTCGTCAAAGAACAAGAAAATCAACTGGACTTTAAGTATAGAAAAAAAAAAAAACACCAGATCTTAAGAAAGTACAGACATCTATAGTATAGACATCTATTACTGTAGTACAGACATCCATTACTAAGTCTTAACCATTAAAAAAAAAATAGAAAAATATGGCTATTCAGGTAGTATGATCAAGGAAAAAAAACTAATTGGACTAAGTAGACATTAAGAAGGTAAGAGTTTCCAATGGAACAGCTGACAAACATCAACAGAGAAGCCGGAGAAAAAGATAGTTCTTTCTAGGAACCAAGTAAGTCACTAACCTAGATTTATGTCTGAACAAAAGACTGGCAGCTTTCTCTCAGTTCACAACCCCTTCACCTTTGTCATTATTCTGCATGACCCTTTCTGAGTCTCCACTACCAAATCCCCAATGCTATGAGTAATTCCTCTCCATGGAGCCACAAGTCCACGCCAGTGTCTTAGTCTGGATGCAAGTGCAGGGGGTGGGAGGCTGTCTGTGTTCTTGTGTCCTGGATTGTGAGGAAAAATGAAACAACTATTTACTGAAGATTTATTTTATGGCAGATATTGTGCGACATTACACTCACTCACTGATTTTCATAGTAATCATGAGTAATTATCCCACATACCAAAGAGGAATTTGTGTCCAAGATCAACAGCTAAGCAATGACAGGGCCCACCTGAAAACCTAAGAATGACAAACTCCAGAGCTTTTTGTATACCCGTCACTACCTCAAAATGGAGGGAGACGTGGTACAACAATTTCAGGTTAGCAGTCAGAAGACATTTGCCCCCAAAACACTATTATATATGTCGATTAGAGTCTACAGTAACACTAATATACAATAGGCACATGATGAGTTTAAAAAGCTTTCCTTAGTACCTATAAAAAATAAGTATTAGATTTCCTGGGGTTCTGACCTAGAAATCTAAATGCTATTTATTCCTGTAAGTACACTGTTAACTTTACAAACAACAGACCTGAAAATGAACTTGTGGGATATAACAGCTTCTTAAGTGAGGCTTTTAAGAATATTTTCCTTGCTTCCACAAAAAATATAAAAACCACCAAGGATAGAATGTTTTCACCTTGTTAACTTATAAGAACAAAGACCCTAGAAGACACCTGTGGGAAATGTGCTTATCTGACCAGGTGCTCATTTTCAGTGGGCTGTCATTTGAATAAAACATCATACTAAATCCTACAGACCATAGCTTATGACAGAAATGCTACAAACTATAGCACTACAGTTGATATGCCTATAATCTGCTGACAAACGTACTCCTCAGTAAAGTGAAACCAGATGTCTGGTGTGAAATCAGATGTCTGTGAACTCATCTTTCTCAGCTTCCAGAGCAGTATTAGATACACTAAATACACAGCTTAGCTGTATAATAAATCCACAACTTGACAAAATCATGACAGTTTGGACATGAAGCATCAGCATTTTTATTGTAATTCTTATAAACCAAAGATACTTCTGAAATAGAAATCCTAAGTTTAAGCACTCAGCTAAATACAGTAGTATGTCTTTCTCACTTTAAGAAGAGTGTTGTGGCTTTTTAAACACATTATAGAAATTCTTTCCCTTCATTTTTCAAGCTGACACACTTTATCCATCCATGTCTGTGGAATGATCTGATAAGGCCATATCAGGTGTCAGTCCTTGTCCCAGAAATTCTAGGATCAGACCAGGTGATCCCCTGTGAAAAGCAAATCCCAGGTTGGCTTAACAATATGGGGAAGTTAGGTACTATATGGCTTTCCACAATCAAAAGGAAGATCATAAGAAAGTGATGGGTGACCACACAGAGAAACAGGGAGGGAAATTTAAAGTAAGTACTTATATGCCAGGCACTGTTTTTTCACACATTCTTTTTCATGTAGTCTTTGTTCTGTTTTGATGGATAAGAAATCAAGGAACAGAGAAGTTTTAATGGTCCAAAATGACACAGCTAATAAAATAAGAGTCAGAAATCAAGCTCATGTCCAAAAAACTGTAAAAGTCATGCTACTTCTCCATGAAGTTTTGGGGGGGAGTGAGGAGTGGTGGTAAATAGCCAAGAAGGGGAAAAAGGAAGAAATGTACAATTTTACCAAATAACAATATTCATATAAACATATATTCCACATGTTCCACATACAATATGTAGCTAAGATGTATGCATGTTTAACATAACTTAAGCTGCATATTTAGTGTGTGTATATATGGAACAAAAAGTTGAAGAAATAAATATCAAATTATTGGGTTATCTTAGACTGGGCTCATAGGAGACTCATTTTTTGCCTTTTATGTCCCTCCCAGATTAAATTCTAAATAACTTGTTTTGACTTCAATATTACTTTTATAACCATAAAAAGACAAGAGAACTATTCTAGCTCAGGTTTTTTTAAATGAGGCTAAATGCACAGAAACCCATGCAAGTTAATGGTCTACTTTTGCATTTGTTTTCTAAGTACATCATCCTTTACACTCTCCATGTACCCTAATATTAGGTCCTTCTTACGGAACAATTTTAAAATTGTCCTTATCTAATTATTATACTCGTACACTGGAAAATAACTATAACAATATTCACCAGAGGACACAAATCACCAAGGTCAGTCATCCTTATAAGTTTATTACTGAAAGTATTAGAAAGGCAGAATAATTCTGTTCTCCCACAGCACTGTATAGACCTGCAAACCACTATGATCAGTAGTACAGGGAAAGTCTTGTACATTAACATGTAACTATGGAGAAAATCCACAAAACAACTGGTGAAAGGTCTGCCCCAAAACAGCCATCTCCAATACAATCTCATCGTTCTCACCATCCTACTTTTATCAAAGTGCTGGTAAAAGTGCTCAGCACGTGGTAACAAAGAGGGAATCAGCTACTGAATCAACGGAGGAACCCATTATCAATAAACAATCACTTGCTGGTTTTCCATAAAGTAAATTATGTGGTCACCTATCACTTGAACACAATCAGGCACGTTCAGGACACAGGCACCGAATATCAGAATAGGCATCCTATCACAGAGGGCAATTCTACTTTTCCTGTGTAAGAATACATGAATGTAGTTTACTACATTCCTGCTGTGGTTAATATGAATTTCAACTAGTGTAAAACAGTTATTTATATGTGGCATATAGGATGCATAAGGGGTTCCCCACCTTGTGACAGGAGCTGTGTTTCATTTCACCCTACAGGGGAAAGGGAAGCAGTGTGCTAAAGTGAGAGAAAAGTCCCAGAGAAGAACCAATGAAATAGACCACACCGAAAATCACAGTAAACCTCAGAGGACTTTAATATCCTTTTTGGCACCTTTTCAAAAGTGAATGGAATGCCTGCAAAGAGGTACCAAGACTGAAAGCCCAGAGAAAAAGACCTAGCCTGGTCATCTTTCTCCCCTCAAAATGTCTTCTGTAAACTCAAGAGAAGATCCGAGAGAACTTCAACACTTGTAATCTTGTAATTAACGTTATGCTTCCGGGTCCTAAAGGATTTTTTCAGGAGGCCCCTTTTAAAATGTACCCATCCCTAGGAGGGTTACTGTTCATTATCAAACAGGACATGGATTATTCCGTGCTATGATCTCAGGGATTAGTCAAAGCTGGCTAATAAGATAGGGGCCAGAGACAGATAACTAGAACACCAAGGTAAAAACAGGTGAAGGGGAAGGGCAGTTTTCTGTCGGGTCAAGAGACTAAGAGGGATTCACATGCCCAAGCTGTTAAATTCCCAGCCAACTCTAGACTCTGTGTGAGCCTGAAAACTGGGGCTTGGGGCCTGTGACTTTGAAGGTGGTTCCTCCATTTTCTGATGAAAAGGTAGAATCTGGGCCCAAGTTCCCCATGGGCAGTTCTGGATCTAGCCCTTCTGTCTCGCTCGCTCTCAGGATAAAGTCCTAGCTCCTTCCACCCCTGACCATTCCTTACTTACCCTTTCTCCCGCTCTTCCTCGGTGAGAAGGGGTAAGTGGTTATTTTGTGCCCTCGCCCAATTTGGCCAAAACCCTAAAAGTAAAAAACGACAGACAGACACGTGCTTTAAAACCCTGTTGTTCAAGCCTGAAGCTCTCCCACCACCTGCCCAACACTTCCAGGCAGAAGGCAGCCCGCCCCCACAGCGCTCCCTCAAGGCCAGGGTCGGGGACCGGCGGACTAGTCCCCTTTGTGAGTACGGAGAAGGGGGGCGCTTTGGAAGCGCAGGCTGGGGAAGAGCGGGCCACCTCCGGGCCAAGTGTGCCGCCTCTGGCGCCGGTTTCCCACCCTTGGCCAGTGGAACCAGGAAAAGGACGAGGAAGGGGCGGCGGCTGCACGCGCCTCAGATAAACACGCGCACGCACACATGCTCGCGATTACTCGGACTCGCGGCCGCGCAACCCTCCGCCTCCCAACAACGCCTGCCCTGCCAGGCCGGGGCCAACTCCCAGGGAAGGGTACCAAGCCCAAAAGACCACCAAGGGTCGGAGGCTGCGCGCCCGCCCACACCTTCCAGCCGCTCAGCCCCCCCCGCCCGCCGCCGCACACCGGGCGCCATCCCTCCGCACCCGCAGCGCAGATCAGCCCAGGGGAAGTCCCCGCGCAGACCCCGCCCTCCGCCGGCGGCAAGCCCCGCCCCGCTCCACCGGCACGCAGGGGCCGCGCGAAGCTCCGCCTCCGGCGGAAAACTGGCCCTTGGACCGCCCGCCCAGGTCAGGCTCAAAATGCGGCCTGGATCTGCAAGAGTCAGAAACAACACTCATTCAGCACGCAATTATTGAGATCTGGCCCTAAGCTCAGCAAGGTACTAACGGGTGAGAGGACAATAAAGAACCGAAAATTCTATGAAACTATGTCGTCAGCTCCTCCCCTTGTTTTACGAGTCAGGAAACCGAGAATCCTCACAGTTGATTAAGTGCAGGGCAATAGTGGCAATGCACCTCACTAGCGCTTTCTAAGCCACTCCTCGTTGCATTTTTTTTTCTACTCAGGAAAACTATTCTATTTTGCTGCCTCCAAGTAAACCAAAGTGAGTAATACAGGGCAGGTGGTTTACTTGAGAGAAACTGGAATTTCTTGCTGAAGCTTTTGCCCTCAAATGGTACAAATTTTTAACTGGGTTATTACAGCCTACAAAGAAACCTTCTGTTCACCAACTCCTCTTCGTTACCCCTTCATAATTCCCTGCTATAGAAAGACCTAACTTTAGTCTCCCTAAGACAGGTTTGAGACTGATCTCCCTGCCAGCATCACCTGCATTAAAGCCTGTCTTCGGTGGCAATACTTTTTGTCTCAGGGATTGGTTTTCTGTGCTAGGAGCAACTCAACCTTGGCATTCAGCAACAGTGGCACCTAGAAGTCCTGAACATACATAAAATACTTTTTGTCTCCTTTTCTTACTACTCCAGTTATATCTTCATTATCTCCATCTCTATTCTTCTTCTAGATACTGCCAAACTATTCTGTGCACTTTCAGATCACTTAATACTAATGTAAATACCAGACACGCTGGCACTCTTAGTTCAAATTTTATTCTAAAGGTTTAAGAATCTACTCAGAGTCTTAAATGTCTGATAACTAAAACTCCAAGAGTCTCCTAAAGAAAGGAAAACTGCTCTCCTGTGAAAGGGATATCTGCCAGTTTTTCTTACTTGTCACTGAAATAATTAAGGTAAGCTCTTTTCTGCCAGTGCGTAAGGGCTTAATTTCAAGAGCACTTAGGTGACAGGACCACCCTTATCAAACAGCAGTAAAGAACTATTTGGTACCATGACCCCAAATTAAATGGAGCTCCTGGTCAGGAGGATCTAACAGTCTGGGATGAAATGTGCATGAATAAAGAACAAAGACAGGTGTTTATGGCCTTTATTGTATTGGGAAGTAAACGAAAATACATAAAGAGTTGCTAAGTCTGGCCTGATTTTGTCACTAACATTCATCAAGTGTACTTAGTAAGAAGCTAATATCTGGATAAGGCAGAACTATGGTGTATTAGTCAGGGTTCCCTAGGGAGACAGAACTAATAGGGTTGATATATAAATACAAAGGGGAGTTTATTAAGTATTAACCTGCACCATGACAGAATCCCAAAATAGGCTGTCTGCAAGCATGAGGCACAAGAGAACCAGTCCAAGTCTTGAAACTGAAGAACTTGAAGTCCAATGTCTGAGGGCAGAAAGCGTCCAGCATAGGAGAAAGCTGATAGGCTGGGAGACTAGGCCAGTCTCTAGTTTTCATGTTTTTTTGCCTGCTTTATGTTCACTGGCAGCTGAGTAAATGGTGCCCACCCAATTAAGGGTGGGTCTGCCTTTCCCAGCCCACTGACTCAAATGTTAATCTCCTTGGCAGCACCCTCACAGGCACACCCAAGATCAATACTTTCTATCCTTCAATCCAATCAAGCTGACACTCAGTATTAACCATCACATGTGGAGACAGTAAAAAGATCAGTGATTGCCAGTGGTCAGGGAGGAGCAGGGTATGAAGCACAGATTTTTTTAGGGCAGTGAAACTATTCTGTTTGATATGATAATGGTGATTCATGTCATTATACATTTATCCAAACCCATAAAATACACAACCCAAAGAGTTAGCCTTAATATAAATCTTAACTTCATAATTATGTCACGTAAGTTTGTCAGTTGTAACAAATATACTGCTCTGGAACAGGATATTCATAGTCAGGGAGGTTGTACGGGTGTGGGGTACATGGATATATAGGAACTCTGTACTTCCTGCCCAATTTGCTCTGAACCTAAAACTGCTCTTTGGGAGAAAAAAAGTTTATGAGATAAAGAAGCAGCAGTTAGAGAATCCTATTTTATTCTGATTTATCTATTAAATTCTAAGCTGAATATTTGGCTTTATATATCCAGTTCCAATATATCTGCTTTGTCTCCTTACGCATCAAAGCAGATGTCTATTCGTTGTTAATACCATCAGGGAGAAAATGAGTCAAATATTCCTCACAAGGTACCAATTTAAATTATAGTTAGGCATCAAATCTAATATTCAAAGAGATATTTAAGCAAAGTTAACTTAAAATAATTAAGCTTACAAATTCTATTAATGTAGATATTAAAATCCATACCATCTGTACATACTTACCATTAGTAAGTAAATAATGCAAGATATCATAGAGTAGCTGTTCTCAAACTTTATCTCAAGTTCTCTTTACATTCTTAAAAATGATTGAGAACTTTAAAGAGCTGTTATGTTTTATATATATATGTCCATATTTGCTGTATGAAAATTTAAGGTAGAAAAATCTTAGGCATGTATTGGTTTAATTTAAATTCATTACATATTACTGTAAAAATTATTTTTATAAATAATGACTACATTTTTCCCCAAAAAATTGGAGAAAAGTGGCATTTTTTTAACATTTTGTACATCTTTTTTTAATTTGGCTTATTAATGGACAACACTGGATTTTCATATTCTGCCTCTACATTCAGGCTGTTGTGATATGTCGTTATACATAAGATATGAAGAAAATTAACTGTCGTACAAATTCATAGTTGAAAAAGGGAAGACCTTACAAAGCTCCTGGAAGGGTTTCAGTGACCCCTAGGGGTTCTCAAACCTCACTTGGAGACTAACTGCCAAATGGCATTTTGCATTTCATTTGTTTGAAGGTCATGTACTTCCACTCGGGCATCTGCTAACACCTGAAATTATAGCCCTTTACTTATTCCAAGCTAAAACTCAAATTTGACAGCTCATATCAAACGATGACATTTCGAAAATATTTTTCAAAGCTTTTACTATAGCAACTCTGATGAAATTGATATTTTTATTTGAATTGATATGAAAACATTTGAGGTTTCATTTATATATTTCATCTCAAACTTTTTGGAAAATTTTGAATATAAATTGTACCATCTGGAAAAAATGAAACATTGGTATATAGTTATTAATGCAGTTTTAGGTATACATAAAACAAGGTATAGCCTCTTTTATAAAAATAATTTAAAAGTGAGCTTAAAACAAAAACAAGTAATTACAGTTTTGTTTCTTTAACTATATAAATATTTGATTCTAAACTTACTACCTTGGAATAAAATTTTAAATATATAACCTTTGATTTTTATTACAAATAAAAATAATGTAAATCATCCAGTTTGGGGTTTTTCAATACAATTTCCAACTAAAAGAAACTAGGGCTGACCAATGGTATGTCTAACTTCGGATCTGGGTCAGGATATACACAAGATGAGCATAGGATAGCTTGTGCCCCAAAGCCAGGAATCCATTAACAACAAAATGTGTCAAAATGTGTCAAAGGGACACAGAAACCAACATCAAGTAGCTTCTTCGGCCAAAGATGGACAATTTAAGCATCAAAAAAAGTAATGAATGGAGTTGTTTGAAACATACTGAATATATAAAAATTCATGAGTTCTTAATGATGTTCCAAAAATGGAAGGCAAAAAGAAAAAAAAGCCACTGGTCAATATTGCAAGTAGCTAGCACTAAGTCCTTATTCTAAAATTGTTCATTAAAAGAAAATAATTCAAATGTTCTGATTTATCTTTCTTGATTAAACTATATATCAGAAAACCAAATTGTTGTTGAGAGAAATCTATTTTATACAATAAATATGAAACAAATAACAGAATTGGCAAATCACCATTTAGAAATCTTGCATTTAATAAATGATTCCGGCAACCATCATCAATGGATGAAACTAACAGATGAAAGTTTCATGAGGAACTTTCCATTGGAGAGAAGACTGTCACTGCCTCAGCATAAAAATGTGTCATTGCAGTGGGATGCCAGACCTTGTGTACTTCCTGATCTAATGCCATCTGATGCACTCAGCACAACTGTGAAATGTTATCACCCAAAAAACAAAAATGGAATCTAATCAAGCCTTAAAACTGACTTCTCACTTACAGGCTTCAGTGAGAAGGGTTAAAACATAAGGGTTACAGGAATAAGTTAAATGACATCACAAAGAAGGAAACAGGTAAATCTAGAACAGAGGACATGCTCTAAGATGATTGATGTAGTCTCTACAAGAAGTTAATAACTGGACACACAGGAAAGGGAAGGAGTCAGGAGAAGCCAAGCTTAAAAAAAGATAGCCATGAAATGTAAGATGTGAACCTTTATTTGGATCCTAATTCAAACATCACAACTATAAAGACTTTTAAGACAATAATGGACATTTAACTATGGACTGGTGTTAGATGACACCAAAGAAATATTATTTTATTAGGTGTATTATTGGCACTGTGATTATGTAAGAACATAATGTAAGAACGTCCATAATTTTTTGGAGAGGCATTCTAAAGTATGTTGAAGTTAAATGATATACTCTCTGGAATTTGCTTCATACTTCAACATCAAAAAAAAAGAAGGAAAAAAAAGAGATAGATAACATAAATGTGAGAACAAAATGGATAATTATTGGATGTAGATGATGAGGGGAGTTCTTTGTACTTTTTCATGGTTTTTGTTTATGTTTGAAATTTTGTATAATGAGTATTTAAAAATAAATATAAGTGACTGCTGTAGCTCAGATTTTCTAGAAAACGGTGCCTGAGACATGGACACATGTTAAAATTTTCTTGGAGGGTGCAGTACTAGAAAAGCAATAATGAAGGAAAGAGGGAAACAGAGGCAGGGACAAAGGGAGGAAAATCCACGGTGGTATGTTTCCAAGCTGGTTATAGCATCCCAGTACATGCAGTTGG